CGTGTCCAGTTAGGAGTGAGATGGACCTCTCACAGTTTGCGAGGCTAAAAAACATGACATCATCATGTGTGAAGGGTCCACAAGATGTGTGATTTCAACACTGAGCACATCTGAGTTTATTTAACCACATCACCAATAACTGAACTGTAAGTTTTTTAAAGGAATAGTTCATCCAAACATATGAGTTGTCACTAAAAAAGAAGATATTTTGAAGGATTTTTAGACATTTTTACTTTAAAACAAGTAAAAAATATATACAATGAGACTTGTTTCTAGTAACCACGGCAAAAACAACAACAACAACAACAAAAAACCTCACTAATTCACACTAAGAACGATAACAACAGTTTTAATAATCATTCTAATTCTCTGAGAATTGTCTATAACTATAAAGTTAACAACATGAAGGAATGATATGATTGGAATCACTTTCAGAACGATTTTTCTCCAGCTAATGAACGATAAAAACATTGAAAGCTTATCAGATCTATCCATCCATCTGGCTTTAAAGAGCTTGAGCATTTAAAGCAACATAACATGCAGTGTACGCTTAAAATAATGTAAATAAAGAATAAAGAAAATAAAATTGGAATGACTTGGGGGTGAATAATGTTGTTATTATGAGTGAAATATCCCTTTAATGCCTCATTATGAAACCAAAGCCATATGTTTAGGAAAAATCAATCAACCAATGAGTGCTGTTTAGACACTGAGACCAAAGGTCATGAGGCAATAAAACTAGCTCCTATTATAAACAACAAAGCCGTCTATAATACAAGTGCACAATGCTGTTAATCAGTGTCACATTGTTGATTATGAGACTAAGCTAGTTGTATTTTGATGTAGTTGTCACGTCACATCACAACACACTCACAGTATGTGTTAAAAAGGTAATTTGCAGTGTAAACAGTCGATAGACCAAAAAAAAAAAATCTCTGGACAAATGCCCACTAGGCCAGATAGGAATATAATAGAATAGCCTACTATGCTGACATTTTGTGTGTGATTTAATATTTTGTTTGTGCAAACATGGAAGATGTTGTCTTGTGTATTGCACATTTAATAAAGGAGTGAAAATATAGAGAAAAGGTCGCAGGAGATTCAGCTCGGCGTCAGCTGTGCGGCTTGCAAGTTTGCGGTGTGGAGGGGGGGGTGAATTAGATGGCTTCCTCTCCAAAAGAGACTTGAGTGTGGCCAGCAGCGTTTCCCTGCCACCGTACGCAATTAAAGCCAGACACTGCCTGGACAAAGGGGGGTTGAGGGGGACCAGCAATCTCGAGGAGAGGAAAAAGAAATCTTTCTTTCCGTCTGTGCTGATAGTCCTCTCCCGAACCTCCATTCTGGTAGACTGGCCTGTGAAAGCACTGTCACCATGTGAGGTTTCACTTCAAAAAGATCTGTATTTTTGCAGATAGAGATAATATTACACGTCCGTTTGAAAAGGCACAGTTTTTCCAGTGTGTGCTTAAAATAAACTCAAATGACAGCGTCAGTGTGTTTCTATTTCTCTGAATTAGTGGTTGATTCTTCAAATTCATAAAATGGCTCTATATTCTGATTGGACGAGACACTGTAAATAGCCAAAATTATGTTGCGTGCACGTCATTGTTGGAATTACCGTAATTACGGGAAAATGAGAACTTAGAGATTATGCTGAGGGCTGTTTATGTCCTTAGACTCTAAATTATTTGTTACCATGGCAACTAACACCAACATGGATCCATGTGCAACTTTGTTGGTGTTGTTTACAGCAAAATAAGTAATCACTCAATTGACCTTTAAGCTGTTGCATTTAACAATGCCTAAGAAATGCAGAATACAATAGCATATCAAATAGATAAGTGTACCTAATTACCTTTAACCTTTTGAGGTTGCTGCCATTTTTGTTGTTTTACCATGATGTCACAATGGATCTTTTAGGTCTTTGATAAAGAAGATGCACCGCCTGTACCATTGAGATGATAATGCTAACATAGCTTCTTTTAGGGAAACCTGTTAGGAAACAGTTATCATTTTTCCAAGGTTGGTGCAACTAGTTCTTCTGAAATGTGATTTATTTTTAAATGAAACATGATATTTGACAAGAAAGAACAGAGCCAGACCAAATGCATGTTTACTAAAAAGAAATAGCTGTTTGATTATTGGTCAAAAACCATATACTCACATAGTTATTGAAACGTAATTGTTCACAGTAAGATCAGTAAAAAAAAAAATCAGTATAACAATTTCTCTTGTTCTCTAAAACTATATTACTTTGTAGAATAATTGTTTATTGTACACTGTAAGACCTAACAAATGTCCTAACTAACACTTTTTAGTTGACTTAATGTACAACAATTGGTTGACTAGAAAACCCCAGTTAAGCTAAATTGATTGTTATGAGTACCAATATGTCAAGCTAGTTCCCAGTATGCTTTGCTTCAGACTCCAGGAGTAAATGTTGAAATTAAGTGTTATTTCATGTATTTTTGCACAAGATTAATATAGGGGGAGATCTGTTAGTGTGTAATGTTCTATTAAGTTTTGTTTTAAAAGGGTTTCTGTTACACTGTAAAAAAAAGTCCTGTAAAAAAATGGTAAATGACTGGCAGCTACGGCTGCCAAACAAAAACCGTAAAATTAAAGTAAATTATCCTAATTGAAACAAGAAAAATTCTGTAAAATAAGGGTTTTACACTAAAAAAATCCCGTAAAAAATGGTAAATGACTGGCAGCTACGGCTGCCAAACAAAAACCGTAAAATGAAAGTAAAATATCATAATTGAAACAAGGAGAAATCTGTAAAATAACATTTTTTTTCTGTAAAACCTTTAATGAACATTTCTGTAAAATTATTGTTTTGTACTTTATTTAAATTAAGATATTTTACTTTCATTTTACGGGTTTTGTTTGGCAGCCGTAGCTGCCAGTCATTTACCATTTTTTTTACGAGTTTTTTTTTACAGTGTATGTCTGCATTTTTTGGGAGTTTACAATTGTGCTAAGAAGTAGAGCTTCTGATTAGGTCAAGGATGGGTCTGTAAACGGTAAGACTACATACTGTTGATGCTGTGATAGTTTTTGTGTTAGCCTAAGCACATGCATGTGTGTTATTGTTAACTGGACCATTGAAGCACTTAATTTACTGGAGTAACACTTATTTGGTCTTTTTAAGGCAAGTTGCAGTAGGCCTAAATGTTACATTAGTTATAGCTCAACTTAAATAAATGAGTTATTTGGAATACACACCTATTATATTTAACTTAAAATGAATTAGTTGTTGAAAGTAAAAAATGTTTTTTAATAAGTTTTTAAGGCAATCGGTTTGCATGCTTTTTAGTAAGGTTAACTAATTAGACTTTACAACGTACGTATTGTATTAGCATTACTTGAACATCGGTATTTTTATCGTAAAGAATACGGGTAAAATGAGCTACCCCTTGTTTGTAGGCAACCATAACCAAAGTAAATGTTCAACTGCTATGGTTCATTCATATGTGGAGAAAAAGAGCACATGGTAAACGTTCTAAATGTCCAAATATGTTATTTTTTTCTTTCGAATTTAATTCCATTAATGTCCAGATGTATAACAATTTAGAAAAAATAATCTGAAATTGAAGAATTCTTTAAATACACTAATTAGAGTCCCCCCCACCCAAAAATAGAGGCTTGGTGTAAATAGTCTTAAACTATTTAAGTAAATTAAAAGTTTCAAATTGAATGAACATTTCAAAGAAAAATACAATTTTACTCATCAAAATTAAAAAAAAAAAAAAAAAGATAAAAAAAAATTGCCCGCTCCCACTGTGTTTTAAAGACCGTCCACGTTAACTTTACCACGGTTAGGAGGTCAACTTTTGGATACAATTTAATCAATCACAAGCCCGCTGCGATTACTTTGTGACTAAAATAAAGAGGACAGAGCAATATAGGGGAGTAGGAGGAGTATAGAGGAGATGAGAACCGGACACGTTGAGCTTTTCCGCCGTCTCCCAGCGGAGTGGAATATCGTGGCTCCTGCGCGCTGACACGCGCACCTGGAAGTGCCGCTATGCTGCTCGCAGCACTGCACCAATTATAGCGCAACATCTCGCTCTGCCGTTCCCATAGTAGCGCCGTGCTCCTGTTCCCCTGGAACGAATGAACCGTGGGGGAGCGAATAGCTTATCAACCATCGCCCTGGTTACTGCGCTCTCTCTACACGCGCCCTGTCGCTTGAGTGAGAGGCCAGAGCAAGCGCCCTAGCTGCAAATGTGTGTGTGTTTTGGACAGCGCTGCAGACGTGAGCACAAAAGGGTCTGGGTTATGTTGATAAGACTGAAGGAGCCTTTGCAGCGTCCCTCAGCCACTCTGTGATCGTGGGCCATCATTTCATACGTGCACACGCACCCTAAATTGCATGCTAACGAATCTGATTTGCTCGGATATAAAGATTCGACGTCGCATGTGGGGCAGGGCGGTGTTCAAATCGTTTCTGATGGCCGTGCACCTGGAGGAGAACAAAACACGCTCGGCCCCTTCTCTACGCAACCCCCACACACTGCGTTTGCTCTCCCCATGCGGCCCACTGGCTCGCTCGCTCTCATCGGATTGATGGCCACGAGGAGTGAGACAGACAGACGTGGCCTGCAGAGGAGGAAAAAAAAGCTTTCACACTCTCATTCACTCCTACACCACTGACAAAAATATCACGCTTAGTTCACTGGTTTAACCCACACACAACACAAGCACACACTCACTCACTCTCACACTCGCGCACGGTTCAGTCAGAGGAAAATTATGAATGCTCATTGATTTCACCTCACATGACTTCCTCCATCCGTGACTTTCTTTGTGAACGCAAACCCAAAATGAAACCAAAATATAAAATAAGCATATTTCAAAGAGCATCATTACTGAAGCTCAAGACAAGTAATAATCGTTCATTTAAAGTGGTCATCACCATGCAAACATGCTATAGAATTGACATATTTCGACAACGACTATAGAAATGTTTGATTTGCACCTCGGTTTATTAAATTGAGGACTGCCAAGACCTCAGAATGGTTGGCTTTGGACACAAATACATGCATTCATTTACGCAGACCGATAATTTTGGCCCCATATGGCACGGGAACGGCGTGCTGTTGGAATTTGACTTGAAATTGCATTTCACTCAATCTAGATCAGTATTGGGGCGAACCTGTTCAGTAGGATTCAAGCATGAAGAAGAAGGGAAAAAACACCAAAACGACAATTACAGCTACAAAAAAAGTAACTTATTCATCTTCGTGTCCATGTTCCATGTTAGGTAGATGCCCTTAAGCCCCTTTCACATGAATAGCACCAATGCGTGTCTCAACAAAAGCATCATGCGCTTTGACGCTCATGTGCAACGCGTTACGGATAGCTTACAGAAGGGTAAGTTTACATGGTTGCTGGGCAGAAAGAAACCAGAGAACCGTTCACAATGAAAATGAAAGTGCTAACATGTTTGTGAGCTTAAAACAGAAAGGAAATCACTTGTAAAGGAAAACTCTTGAACAAGAGTTTATGAAAATTTTCTCATAATGCTCTAGACAGAGAGGTGTCACAATGGGGTATTGTCTGGTAATCCTTGTCTATATTATGAAAACTCAATGACAAATGGAGTTTAAGTTGAAATAGTTTAAATTTTAAGCATCATAGAACAACAATTGTACATGTTCAATGATGCAAACCATGTGAAAAGGACTTAAAGGAGCACAGGAGATCAGATCTTGGAGTAATTCAGCAAGAAAACATCCTATTCGTAGAAATATTATCATTACACATCAATAATTTCCTTAAT